TTATCATTGATAACTTGTGTTTCATATTAAGTAGCATTATTAGTACAAAAATCTTGTTATTATTACAATAACACTTTAATAGGCAGAAAATGAAACTAATTTATATGGCCGATGAATTGTTATCTTGTTACACATAAATGGTATATTAATCTAGAATGTACATTGTGATATATATGGGCTCAGTATTGGTATGTAATTTGGTTAATAAAAAATGCTGAAGCACCATGAGTGCAGCAATTGTCTAGCTGTTCGATCCTCCATGAAGATAATAACGGTCCCACCCAAAGCCTTTTGCCAGCTCCGCTTATCTTATCTTATCGTTGCATTAATGAGAGTAGTTATGGTTGAGTCTCATTTTTTAGAACACTGGTCAACAATATTATTGGGTCTATTTCTAAGAAAGTAAGTGTGCGTCCACCCACACCAGCAGATTCGTTTGCGTCATTTATGGAAATCGGTCCAACATACCCTTAATTTTCTCTCTGTATTGATCATTGTTACCCAACCTTTTGCAGTGGACCCTTAACATGTCAATCACGATTTCAAGAAGACTAAGGGCCGGTTTCACCGGTTGCTGATAAAGTCCCTGATAGCCTATTAGGAACTTATCTGCCAGATAAACTACAACTTTTGGTTTCACAGGTCTCGGATAACTATATCTGGCAGATAAAGTATTAGATATGTTATCAGCCGGTTCAAGTGGCTGATATAGACGTTATCTGATAGATAAAAAAAAGTTTCAAGTGACGGGAATGAAAATAGTTTTAGTTTTAGACCATTATTGTGTGCTTTGCGTTGATTGCAGTCACAAGTGTCACCAATATTCTAAAATGGATTTATTTGTTTTTTTAGAAGACGAATTAGATAAATATTTAGAACGTATTACGCGACCCCGTAGGAATCGAGTAATTAACCCTAGACCTAATTATTTAGAATCACTTGACGTTCAAGATTTTAGGAATCGATTTCGGCTGTTGATTATATTCTATCGTTAATAGAAAGTGATATAAAAACTACAACGGGCTACTAAGTAAAAAATCTCCGTTAACAAGTAAATAAAGAAGCTCCGTTTCTTCTTAATTAAAATTCACACTTCTTTCACGTTTTTGTTTTTTCATTATTAATTAACAGATCTAAAAAGAATACATAAAGAAAAGTTTAAAAATTGAAAAGCGTCTTAAGCACAAAATATCAACAAAGCAAAACAAATGATAGTTGCGTTTCGTTTCTGTAAACACGTAGCTAAGTATACGAATATCGTATTATTTTCATTCTAGAATCATAAAATTATAATTCAAAATATATGAAAAAAGTTTACTTAAATAATATTGAACACAAAAAAAATATTAATTAAGTTTTAAAAACGATTTTTGATTGACGATAATTTGGGTCGTAGTATTGAAACGCAAAAAAGCGACGTTGCCGTTCAGTCAACTAATAAGTGACCGATAACTTATCTGCCAGATAAATTATCTAGCAGTTTGATGGTGAAACAGAAAAAAGTTAACAGCAACCTTTATCCAGTAGATAGCGTTAACTATCAGATAACTATCTGAAACTTTATCAGTAACCGGTGAAACTGGCCCTAAATAAAAAATATAGACCTATTTACGTTATTTGACAAAAGTTCAGTACATATTTGTATTACCAAAAAAAAAATACAAATGAAAACTCATTACAGTGTCGGTTTTTTCATAAAATCACACCAATGTGAAGGTATGTGCTTCATTTTGCACCTGAATTAGTAATACTTATTTGTGTAGTAGATTTGATTATTGTCATTACGCAAGCGCACATACCTTATGTAAAGTAGGAGTAACCACAACGTTACTTTTGGCTGCTGCATGTACAAATGCCTGCACGTCAGGTTACAACAATATGTAAAAAAAAAACATTTGGTTTTAAACTCTAACCTCATATAAATAATGTCATAAACAATCAGAAGAATGTACTGTTGATTGAACTTATTACATACCTTTTGTTAAATAATCTATAAATGAAAGTGCAGATCATACTTTCCGAGGGATCTGCGTACAACGGGTTAAGAAACACTGACCCATAACATGGTCGCTGAACAGGAAGAATTTCGTACGTTGTCCTTAGTGCCTATTGATAGCTGATATCGTGAACATTTAAGGTTCAGTTTACCACGGCAAAATTGGCTAGATACATATGTGCCAGCGCAATAGTTATATATTTGCGCACGAGTGAAAGACATGTAGTGCTGGGTCATTGTACGAAATTCTTTCTGTTACCCTAATTTATTGGCAATTTATTTCGTTCATCGTCGGGTTATTATTTATTCGTTGGCGCAACCGATGGTTTTAGGCGTGTACTAAAGCCCATCGCCCCGAAATAACTATCTTACTTATTTTGAAAGTAAATTAGACCTTCTCGGTCCTTCTTACAGACACACTATAATCATGGAAGACTTCAACATCTGTGTTCTTAAAAATGACTCCCGTTCGGCAAAATTCTAATAATGTTCCAAATCTCAATGCTACTCATTATTTTCCCAATTTTTCTCCTTCTCTTCTAGATCTTATGATCGTCTCTTCTCCTTAACACGTTGCTAAACATGGACAGTTCCCAGCCGATGCGTTCTCGTACTATGACTTGATTTCTCTCTCTTATAAGGTTTTAGTGGTATTAATCTTGATAATCTCCTTGAGGATATCATTAATGTGGATTATTCACAACTCCTTGACTGTGACACAGTGGATGGTAAGCTCGGGTTGCTTATGTCGAATCTAAATGTACTTTATGATGTCCACGCAACGGTTCATCCGGTCAAAATGAAGAAATAAAACAATTACCTAAGAGTAAAGCTCAAATCCAAACACAAATGTTATCCTATTTCATCCAATTGGGAGAAATATGTGAATCTCCGCAATCAATATAATAGGAATGCACAACACCAATTTGTTTATAACTCTGTCGAAAACGCAGATCCAGCAAAAATCAGGAAATTTTTGAAATCCATGGGTATTGGGAAAGAATCTCCGACTACCGTTTTAGATATTAATCTGCTGAATAAAAACTTCTGTTCTTCATGCGACTTTGATTCAACAAAGAAGTTGAATACTCTGAATCTTCTTTCATCTCTTCCAAGCCCTAATTAGTCAACTTTTTCTCTTTGTCAATTTTCCGACTGTACTAAGATAATAAGGGTACTATGTCAATATCAACTGGGGCTGTGGGTAGTGACTGCGTTAGCCGGAAGATGATTCTCCTTGTCCTAGATGAAGTCTTTCCACTCATTCCGCATATCCTCAACAACCACAAGAGTGATGATTGCATGTGTGTGCAGACAGCACGCTGTGTCGGAGGGTGGGAGTGTGCGTGAGATGCCACCGCCGCCGCCTCCAACTGAACAAGCGAGGTGTCCACGATGCGGCAAGGTAACAAACTATAATGTAAATTAAATTAAAATAATTTCTTCAATGTAAGCTGATACAAGCACTCGTGAAAGTCGAATCTTTATGCCTTTCTTTATTTAAATCGACAGCGGGAGATCTTGTGCCGAGAAGAACCGATAAGAAACTCAGCAAGGACTGCTTCTTTCTCTCTGTTTTGTTTCATACAGAGATGTCGAACTGAAAATTGCATTCATTTTTCTACACTCTCAGTATAGCGATATGTAGGGTAACAGGAATTGAATGTTCTAAATACATGACCAATAAAATTTGTCGCTCTTGATCTCGATCGGTCATCACCAAGGGAGTGTATGTCGGCTTGGGCAGTTGTACTTAGGGTTGCCTAAATTTTTTCAGCGAAACATAGTATTTTTGTACTATATTTAATAAGCTTATGAAATACATTATACTTCAAAAAATTAAGAAGAATTAAGATAAATGTCTCAGTATATACACGTTACAAAGTTATTCTAATAAGTTTATTGAAAGATCTTGAAATCATTAAGATTTTTCTTACCATCTCCCGTTTAACACGTATTTTGACTGACTAACCTGCGCTTAAGAGAAGTATCGAAAATTAATAAGCTGTCGCATAATGTCAACAAAAGTAAATGTATTAAGCGCCATTATTAACGAAGAATTTGTCTGTTAGATATCCGTGTTAAAAATATAATATTATATATTTCTCCAACAGTATATAGTACGCAGCATAATAGTACAGTTGGCAACCCTAGTTGTACCTCTCACATCTGTGTGTTGTGCAGATAGTGGATGGCGGTGGTGGTGCGTGGTCGGACCACTGGAGGCGACACTGGGAGCGGGACGCGCGCCCCTACCGCTGTGCACTCTGCGAGAAAACATTCCGCGATCCACATCAGATACTTAAACATGGTACTCTACAAACTATACATATACTTATATTTACCACATAAGAATATAAATCTCCGTCCCAAAAAAAGTCACTCTATAAAATATAAAAATAATCTTTATGAACCCTTTTTAATGAGCATAAACACGATAATACCGTTAGGTTGTAAAGAGTTAGGTACTCTATAGACTATCCTGGTGACCTTGACCTGATGGATATAGCTAAGGATACTCTCCATTAACGATCTACGATGACACAGACAGAAACGAAACCATACTATGTATACTAATATTATAAAGAGGTAAAGTTTTTAACTTTGTTTGTTTATATGCGGTGTAATCTTCGGAATACTGATCTGCTGTGATTCTGTAAAAATCCAGACCCGAATTCGAATTCACTCATGTGTCCGAATTCACGTCATTTAGTGTAGAAATTCTATTGATTTAATTTTTTGTATTAAAATACGAAACATAATTTATTGAATATACTTGTTTCAGATATTCTATTCCTATGTCATTTCGAAACTCACTTCACTTATGCCACGAAACGTAATTTAACCAATTCAAATTTGAGCTGATGCCGCTTTTTGAAGTGAATTTGGACACCTGAGTGAATTCGAATTCGGATTTAAATTTTTACAGAATTGTAGGGCTGATCGTGAAATATACTCGCTAACTATAATAGTATTAATATGACGCTTGTGTCACCTGTCAGGTATGACACACAAAGCCGGTGAGAGTGAGCAAGAGCACGCGCTTAAGAAACGGTTCATATGCGACTTCTGTCCAGAGAGATTCGTCTATATGAGGTAACACCACCTTTTATATTATTAAATAAAATATATAATGTTGTCACATGTACTATACACGTGTGGCAACTTTCACTTGTGTTACTTAGTGTATTGTAACTCATAAAGATAAATAAAACATGCTGCTACTGTGACCAGAGATTGATCACTAATTTTTATTTTGTTTACTGTTACAATACGTTTTTTGTGTGATGCTCTGTCGCAGTGCCACCGCGCCCAACAGGCATAATTCCTAGATAACAATAAATCGTTTACTTGTCAATCACATTGGGTAATTTACAATTTATTGTTAAGAGAGCAGCACTCTAATATAATTTACTGTGTCGTCTGAAATTAAAACTTATGTACAAATTTATATGCTGTATCAACTCATTCAGTCCATTAGTTTCGTAGATAATTAAGTTGGTGTTTAATCGGACAGACAACCGAGCGATCGTATAAGGTTTCCGTCGTCGCATACGTACATATTATATAGGTATATACACAGTAAGGGTGCAGTTATCTGTTGTCGCACCCAGGGGGCGGGGCCTCCGCTGAGGCTGTGTTGGACGGCATACGGCCACAGGTCACATACATATATTTAAACACAGTAACGGTGCAGGTATCTGTTGTCGCACCGGTCGGTATCGCACCCGGAGGCGGCGGGTCGGCCGCTAAGCCTGCGGTGCGCGGTGTGTGGCCGCGGATTCGCTCACCTGAACTCGCTGCGTCGTCACCTGCGCGCGCACTCTGGGGAGCTCAACTTCCTCTGCAGCGTTTGTGGGAAAGCGCTCTCCAGCCGCGAACATCTCAAGTTCCATCTTAGGATCCACACGGGATACAAACCCAACGTTTGCAAGTAATTATACGTTGCGTATCATTAAGAATACCTCCTCCATAATTTTATTTCGAACCTTAAAACCGGTAATCTTTAGTATTTTCATCCTGATACTGATTTGCATTTTTTTTAAATGTATCGGTCCTGTCATCTCTTCTTGAACTCTTCGTAAATCTATATATCTATATATGTATATCAATATATCTATATATATAAGTATTTTGATCAAAACTTAAAATTTCTGTTTTCAAATGTGTAAAATTTTAATGTAATTTTACTAGTAGTATTAATATTTCAAGATTTTTCGAATGCTCTCGATGAAGTCAATTCTGAGGTTTTGTTTTCCAAAATCAATAAAATAGGATTAGTCTCTTGCGCAGTTTGTATCTGAGTTGCATTAATTATCTCAGATCATTATCGTAAAAAAAAAGACTCCTACTTATTACTTCCGGATGATTTATTGATTTACCGCAAGGATTTAAATTGGGGCCGCATCGACATATGCTGATGATACTTAAATTTGTGAAACTGAAATATTAAAGATTCTAAATTCCTTTTAATAGATCTGTGATCGAAAAATGTAAGTATTAAATCGTCTATTTTGTTACCACATTTAGAATCTCGAGTAGACAAAAAATTAATTATACAGACTTGTGACATCATTATCTAGAAACCTCAAACGTTCGAAGGGGCAAGCAACTGACTTAAAATATTACATTGTTTGAAAAGTGTATAAATTTAATTAAAAGATAAATTGAAATGCCTGATTATAATATTGAATTTATGTTACATTATTTGTAGGACGTGTGGCAAAGGTTTCGTGAAGAAGTGTAACCTGACGTTGCATGAACGCGTCCACTCCGGTGAGAAGCCGCACGTCTGTTCACACTGCGGGAAGGCGTTCAGTCAACGGTCCACGCTCGTCATACACGAGAGGTACATTCACATTTTAAACTAACCACTTCGTATTTACTTAGAATAGAGTCTTGGAAGGTAGTAACATACTTATGTGATGTTTTTTACTAAACGTAGTTAATTTGTAAAAGATGTTATTATATTTTTAATTTTAAAAATAGTATTTTTTTTACATCAGAACCACATGATATATACTTAACACTGTTCTTATCACATCTAGTGTTCTTATGACATCATAACTCGCTGTCACCATCAGAGTTAATAGAATAATTTGATATTTTTTAGATCCTCATAAATAAAAAACAGTGAAGATTTGAGAAATAGCTAACATTAGATTTCAGCGGGAACCTCGGTGGGAACTAGAAGAATAACCCGCGTTTACGTATTAGCTGTTACCTAAAAAATATGGCATTCTCGTATAAATTAACATGACATCTATGGGCCTATTCTATGTTTTCTATAGTTATTTACGATGTAATGTGGTATGATCCCCGCAAATTGGTAATGCGCCTGGCCGCTATTATGATGACGTAATTGCGTTCAGAAATCAGTATTGTTAACAAATAAACACTGGTCGACTGTTGACTTAATTTTTGATGTTTTTGTTGGTTTCGATTGTTTTTGTTAAGTTTTGTTTTTATTTGTTATGGTTGAGTAAATTAACAACATATTTTTCACAACAAGTAAACATAATAATAAATATATCTAACGTCTCTACGTTCGTATTTACGTTTTAAATTCTATTTTCATATGACGTCACGCGGGTGTCATTTAGACAAGGTTCCAGCGCATTAGCAATTTACGGGACTTATAGGACCTGACAATGCCTCTGATATATAGATAATTTTGCCGGGTATTATAACAAAATTATAAAATCTAGGTTTCAATAAACGATTATTCTATTCTATTATATGCTGGTGCGGAGCGAGGTTTTCAAAATATCAAATATAGTAACTTTGTCGATGAGCTACGCGCATTTCTTATAAAATAATCGAATTTTGTTCTTATTTTTGGGTACCTGAGATTCATTAAAGCAATTATGAATTACGGGTCAATGAATGTCAGAGCCTTAAAATATCTGAGCTAAGAAAAAGAGCTGGTTGAAAGAACAGCTAACGCAGAGGTTGGTGTTTATCATCAATGCTCGATATTTTTAGCATATTGGTTAGTAATATGTATTATTTAAGTCCACGCTCGTAGTAAACATAACTGACTCTCTCGTGACTGTCGCGCCATCTGGTGAGCGAAAAACGGTAACCCTCATTTGTACTAGTTATATGTATGACAATGTTATCGCTAGTGTACTAGTATTGATCGTCACGGCAGGTATCACAGCGGCGCGCGTCCGTACGTGTGCGCTCTGTGCGGCCGCGGGTTCGTCGCCAAAGGATTACTCTCGATGCATCTGAAGACAACCTGCATATAGGTGACTACATTACGCTACACCACACATTTTTTTATTATTATATAACGCAAGGGGATTGCACCAAAACACAGATGTCAATTGAAAATCAGCGTCTGGCTACCAGTCTGACATAACTGAATTGGTAACTTATTTTTGGTGCAGTCGTGAGACGCAATCGCATATATGTATATTCTTTTGTTCTGTTTTTAATTATTTTTATTGTTAATTGTATCCGAAAATTGTATCTTTTGTCTCATGTTTGTACCAGAATAAATAAATCATTCGTTCATTCATTCAAATCATTCATTCGCTCGTTTACCTTAAGCCTCAAATCAGGGCGCTAACCACCCCGCCCTGAAAAGGGCAGGTTAATGTGACTGGCCTTCCCGATAAAATCAGTTGCGGTTCATCTCACGCGAATGGATGAGTCCGGTATGTAAGGAAGGCCCGGTCCTCGCGCTGGAACTTCTCTTATGGGGTAGAGAGGGGAGTCAATACCTGATCACTGTGTATAATTAGGCACAGTTATCGGAAATGCAATTTGGTAGATGGACGTTTTTAGAGATGGGTAAACTTGACTTCTACCTTCGATGTATTAAGGTTTAAAAATCGAGTGGGGAAACTTGAATTTTGTGTTGACTGTACATTTCGCCGTAGATACACATATGCGTTCACACTTAAAAATAATAAAATAAAATTATAGATATGCTATAATGTTTACATATGATCGACATTACAATTATATCCACTATTATCGGGTTGGCTAATAAATAGTGAGCGACACGCGTTACTTAAATTTTAATTAATTAATTTATGAAATAATTGTTAATCATTCACAATGCAATCACCGTCGTTATCTACAACTGTATGCCAGCGATTAGGCAAAGATTTTATTGCGTTTCTGTAAAACTGCCAGTTTTGATTTGAAAAAGTACTGTACTGTTGTAACTGGAGTTCATCATGAAAGCTTTTTTCATGCAAATGACTTACTTAGTGACCGAAATAAACTAAAATCTGTTGGCACTAAATCCGATGAATATGGAGGAGGTGGAGTTATTTCCTAGTTCAGCTCTAATAGTTTCTGCCGGGTGCTCTTAGAAATATGCGGTTAGGCATTATCATGGAGGAAAAATATTTTGTCATGTTGTGGACGCTTACGATGAAGTTCAAGCTTCATATTATCGAGTTAATTACAGGTGGGAAGATTTTCCCAGTATGTTCCAGTTCTTCATGTACATCCCACTATACCGAGAGTATCACCTTGCGAGAATGAAGATTTTTTTTTGCGTAAGCAGGTAGCCTTGATCGTAGCGGCCTAGCCACTGACGCTTGTATGGTTAACATACATAACCCACTTTTCGTCTCCAGTGATGAAATGGTCTAGCCAGTTAAATGTACGACGAAATGATAATAGATGTACACATATCTCTGCACAATTAGCGAATTGATCCTTGGTCAGCTGATGAGGTATCCAAACGCCAAATTTGTAAAACTTTCCATGCATTAGGAAAGTTTTACAAATTTGGCGTTTGGTTACAAATAAGTTGCAAATAATTTTCAATCGTACCATGAGAGCAACCAAGCGCTACAGCCAAATCACGTGTGTTGCGTCTAGAATCTTCTTCAACTAACGTCTCTGCAGTTTATTTATCTTTGTCTCTACTGCGGAACCGTTACCGCTTTGGCTGTATGTTCGGTGCAGTGCGGTCTGCAGCGGACCCATTGGCCATATTGGTATGTGCAGCTAATAAACGATGTCAGACATGAGTTATGATATCATTAATTTTTACGTTGAAGTTAAAGCAACGACATTCCAAGTATCACTGGCGTGCATGATCACGACTCGCTCTTTATATACCCCCCGCCATAGGATACGTTCTCGATCCCACTCAAAGTTTTTAGAAATTAAAAATTAAAACGCTCATTACTTATTAGCTAACCCGATATTTACATCTCTTTATGTTTTTTCTACTGATAATCTAAAAGATCACAAGTAGGTTATATGATATACTAAATATATATAAGAAATGAGATGATATCTTCAATCTGGTATCCGTATCCGTTTTATATTTAGCAAATTTTAAACGCTGATTATGACTACCGTTACCTGAATCGTGATAATAATGATTTAAAATTAGATTAATGAATAATGTATGTTTAATTTTACAGCGCGTATGAAATCCTCAATTCGTCCGCCGCCTCTACCACGCGTCAGCTTAAACGTCGAGAGAGATTTTCTTTTTCAGATATAAGTAATAATAACAATTTGATTAAACTATACCACAGACACTAATGATCGAAGTAGGTAAAGCTATTAATAAGAATGAAAATAGCTGAGAATAGAATATAGAAAAATATTCCGGATCGATGCCATCCAACGTATATGTTAATATGGATATGACTGGGAATTAAAATTAACTCGTCTTGTAAAACATTTGTAACTAAAATATTTGTTGCTGCAATTTGTTTAATATTCAAATGTTATGCTGGAAACTAATTTTGTACTGGATTTATGCACATATTTTATATTGAAATCGCAGGATCGCTATCATATCCATATTACGGACATGTAAGTGAAACTTGAATTAAGAATTTTTTTTATTGGACGTTAAAACAGCAAAAATAGCTCTCCCTATTCCGATCACTTATAACGATAATAGTTCCTACATATACGCAATATCATGGTTTAATATTTATGTTTATGCGTAGATGTCCGACTAGATGACCGGTATATTTAATATAACTTTTTATTAGATAAGTTTATCTTTTTTTTTTTGTAAAGCAGCAGCGCTCCTAGCGAAAAGTTGTAAAAAAGGCATGCTCTTTACACACGTCCTTGGTTTCCTTGCCGTGAATTTCCATACATACGTACGTACTCTTTCCGTATATACTCGTCGTTTTTATGTTTTCTGACATCACACTTGTACAATTTTAAGCGTGAGAGGGGTGTCTTGGTCTCCCGCGGTTGTTCTTTATCCTTTTACTTTCGCATTTTTCTGATTTCTCTGCATGTTTGCACTGACGGAGCATGTCTAACTAATTATTTTTTTAAACTTACAGTAAAAGTACCATTATTCGACAAAATGTTTTCTATTTAACTTCGATCAACAATACAACTAAATAACGTCTCGCCTACTAAATCAATACTAAAATATGGCACCATACATTGTAACAACCAAGAAACATAATACCACAGAGTATATTCTGTGATAATATTTTAGGCGCCAACTGAGCTCCGGAACTGGATAAATCTTGAGTCGCGTTGTCAATTTTATTTTTCATAGTATACGTATAGGAGACCGGACAGCATTTAGATGTGTGTGGTTAAAAAGTTCATAAAGTTTTATTATTATTCGCTGATTATTTTTGCTAAATAATTATTACTTCTATTTTTAAATCAGTCAACAAAAATATAATCTTCGTATTTTTTAGGCTGTGTCTCACGTTAAACGAATTAGATACTTGTACGGTACCGTATTATTTACTGAATACTTTAATTCATTTTTTTTTCACTGAAAATCCCTTTTTTTACCCCACAAAAGACGTCACATTTCATTTTATTAAAAAAAAATTATAAACATTGTTTTGGGAACATAATTAAGGTTAAATTTAAATAAAATTTATGTAATTACACACACTGAGTAATTTATAATAGTTTTTAGAAAGTTGTCCGATACACTACAACATAAAGTTGTCCGAACCGCTACACAAAGATGGTTTCAATTAGTGTGTTCTAATTTTTAGTAAAAAAAATGTAATAACTCACAAACTACTCCACCTATGTGCTATCTTAGAACGTCGAATATTTGGTCAAATGTTTGCCATGTTGGCGCGTGGGTTGGCTGAGAAACGAAAATGTTATTTTATTGAAAACTAGCTGCCCCGCCGATTTTATTCCAATAGTCGTGCCGCGCCGTCGCAAACAAACTAAAACATAATAAGACCTCACTTTGAAGTGAGACGATTTCTTCGACCATTTTTGAGGCTCTGACCGGGCATCTAGTTGTATTGTTGAACGAAGCTATTTAACTTAAACTTAAATTGTTAGATGTACTGGTCTCTATGTTCGGGTATAGTTTGATATAATTTGTTATTTGCATTATTAATAAATTAAAACACAATTTGGTTTCTGTATCTATCTGACGTTTGGATAGCGTAAGTAAATAATTGAAGGATATTATTTATTATAGTATACGACAATCGTCTCTTACAAATGTGAAATGTGATAAAAAATAGATTAAGTATTATAAATATGTAACTAAATAAAGTGGACATTGTCAATGTATCTAAGTTGTTCAGAAATGTACCTAATCTAAAGATATTTAACTTCTCTATGCAACATCAAGGTATGTAAGAATTTTTTAATACTTAATAAAATAATAACAAATAATAATAACAAGAGACTGTTAAAAATAAGTTTTGCACAAAAATAAGAAATTACCTCATTAACAATGTCATATGATTTACTTTAGACGAAGCTAATGTTTCGGCAGTTAAACGATTTATACGGCTGGACTAATTCCAACCATAATTGTATTTTATACTTTAAATAGCTAAACCGATAGACGTTGTCCTGTCTTAATTATGGATATTGGATTCGAACGGTTTTTTTACACCCTTTTGATATTTGCAGCACGCATTCTATCGATTCTATGTCAAACGTCATAAAGTTTACATAAAAAAGTTTATGTTATCCAAAGCACTAAGGTTAGATAAGAAACAATTTTATATGGGGTTAAATATTCTTAAGTTTTCGAATTTCCCACACTATTTCTTATTTTTTCTTTCATCAGAATCTTCTCCTGACAATAATAAACACAACAAAAAAGAATTAACGAAATCGGTCCAGCCATTCTCGTGTTTCTTCTTCTATAGATAATAAATAAATAAAATATTATTACTCAATTAGATATAAAGTAGATAGATACGGCGAACGAAGTTTTTTAATTAATAAATGTTATTAATATACTGAATAGAACGTCGATAGATGGCGCTACTACGCATATAAACAATATTTTCATTAAGTACGTAAAAATTGACACAGTTTATATTTCTCAAGAGCTTAGATATTTTGAATATTCATGATTTTAGTTATAGTCTGTTCCTAGGGTGGGCGATAACAAACGATGATCCAATAATCAGCCATAGAACTATTGTTTCCGCGGAGTTCTTTCTATTGTACGGGATGAGTGTCAACGTACCGAACATCGCAACACAGTATTTTGTAGAAACAATGTAGATTTTGGAAGTGGAGTAAGGAATGCGATACGTATCGTTTCATTTCAAAGGCTATATAATTGGGTTATTGTCAATTTTTTCACCTACACTAGTTACAACAATACATTTTTGTATGACTGAATAAACTACATTTAGTATTCGCATTGCTACAGACTAAAGGTAATAATATTGTATATCTTTAGGGCTGGGTATTAATATATTTATGTGTAATACAGATTACATTGTTTTGAATTATTCATACTCGACCGAATAGTTCGGTTCAAATATCGGATGTTAATTGCATTAAACGATCAATCACGATCGTCCGCATGCATGTATATTTATACAGTTATTGTAACGAGGGTCTCAAGCTCAAAATAGACGTACCTGGACCGAGTAACTCGGCTCAGTATACGGTGTAATTATCACCTGGTACATGACAACAAGTCGGCTTGCTACAAAATTTTCAAATTACATACTGCAATTAATGTTGAACATAACTAGATGGGCTTTTAGGAGCTACTTTTTGACGCGAAAATAGGCTTCTCGTGGTTTATAAGTCACGTCCTCTAGTGTCTAAAAATTGAAAAAGATTTTTTGTTAGTACTTTTGAAAAACGTTATAAATACAAATTAACTTCCTCTGTTGTCTAGTTGTAATATAAATACTTTTTTTACATCGTAAGTGGAATGCTTTATGCACTGTTCCTGCTGCTTGACAGGCGATAGGGGTGAGTGGGACTCTCCATCTATATGGACCTGAACGTTAGTAAAAACGCGGATGGCATAACCACTTAAACCCCATCCGATACATATGGGTATAAATGTTAATCTTTTGGAATCAACACATTAAAGCTTAAAGTCGACAAGAGTAATTTGTCCTTTTGTAGTAACCTGATATGTTGTCGACTGTACATGTATAGCATAGGCTATCATGATTCGTAATTAATTAATATTTGTTTTTAATTATATGCGCACATGTTTTTTTTTTTCTATGTCAATTATGTATGATAATTAAATATAAAAATTATGAATTTAATAGGTATTTAGATATATCTTATTCGGTCCAAATTGTGATTGTAATATGCACTCTATGTCATCACAATGCAGTTAATATTAAGTGAAAATATGCTAATGAACTTATTCTTAATGAGAAGAAAAAAAAGTTGGATGATTCTTCGAATATACTACTGTCAGATAAAACTGCTTCTCCGTTTTTGTAAAATTTATTAAAATTACCTAATATCGATTGTCTTCAGTTCAGTCGACGCTTTTCTGTGGAAATTTACAGCAGGCTTTAAGAACTAAACAATAAATGTTTCTTCTTTCCTATTTGAGCAGTAGGTACAGTAACTTTAAACTTAATGCATAACTTAACATAACTTTATGTGTGGATCGGTAAAATAATTTGATTCTGCTTGGCTATGGTTCTCCCGTTTTAAAGGGAAGGGAAATATATAAAAAATAGGTACATGCAACTTTGTAAGAAAAAATCGCGAACAAAAACTCGCTAAAGCCGAATTTTTATTACGTAAAAGAATAGGTCTCATATCACAACGATATATATTGCATTTAATTGTTTCATATGGTTTATAAGCCGAATACAGACATTAACGTAGTAAGAATAAATACGTTATTTATTTATTTTACTAGTAGATTGTGCTTTTTGTATATCTACAAACCAAGTTCCTAAGGTAAAAAGTTAGAATATTTTGGTATAAAACCTTTTTACTTTTCCGCCATTTTCTTGTTCTTTAACAGCATACGAAAAAATAATTTCAGATTTTATTGAATCAAAAAGATGAAAGGGTTAGCCAGTCTTCTCACTCAAATATTTTAACCTTTTCAATCTATCAAATTGGCAGCATGTAGGTGATTCCGACATGAAATCTGTTTCTACGAAAAAATGTACAATGACACAAATGTTATGTAAGCGTCGAAGAACAACGACATATCGCTACCCATTCATATTTTTATAGTATCTGCGTAGTACTGTTTTGTTATATGGTATG